GAAGGATCGCCGGAGCCCAGCAGGTCGAGGCTGCGGTGGCCGGGAGTGGCCACAGCACTCCAGTCTGGGCGACAGAGGTGAGACTCCAACTCAAAAAAAAATTAATTAAATAAATAAATAAAATAAATAGCCGGGCTTGGTGGCTCAGCCTGTAATCCTGTGCCTTTGCGAGGCTGAGGTGAGTGGACTGCCTGAGCCTGCGGGTTCGAGACCCGCCTGGGCAACTTGGCGAGACCTCATCTCTATAATATATCAAAAAATGAGCCAGGTGTGGTAGCGCGCGCCTGTAGTTCCAGCTACTTGGAAAGCTGAGGCAGAAGGATCGCCGGAGCCCAGCAGGCAAGGCTGCGGTGGCCGGGAGTGGCCACTGCACTCCAGTCTGGGCGACAGAGTGAGACTCCAACTCAAAAAATAAATAAAATAATAAAATAAAACAAAATAAAATAAATAAAATAGCCGGGCTCAGTGGCTCAGCCTGTAATCCCAGCACTTTGGGAGGCCGAGGTGAGTGGATTGCCTGAGCTCACGGGTTCGAGACCTGCCTGGGCAACGTGGCAAGACCTCATCTCTACAATAAATCAAAAATTAGCTGGGTGTGGTAGCGTATGCCTGTAGTTCCAGCTTTTTGGAAGACTGAGGCATAAGGATCGCCAGAGCCCGGCAGGTCGAGGTTGCAGTGGCCAGAAGTGGCCACTGCACTCCAGTCTGGGTGACAGAGTGAGACTCCAACTCAAAAAAAATTAAAAAAATAAAAGAAAATAAATCGACAAGGTGTAGTGGCTCATGCCTATAATCCCAGCACTTTGGGAAGCTAAGGTGAGAGGATTGCCTTAGCCCATGGGTTTGAGACCAACCTGGACAACTTGGTGAGACCTCTCATCTCTACAATAAATCAAAAATTAGCCGGGCATGGTGATGCGTGCCTATAGTTCCAGCTACTTGGAAGGCTGAGGTGAAAGGATCGCCTGAGCCCAGCAAGTTGAGGCTACAGTGGCCATGAGCATGCCATTGCTGTGCCTGGGTGATAGAGTGAGATTCCCACTCTAAATAAATAAATAAATAAATAGATAGATAAGAATTTCATTTCTGTTCCTTGAACTGGCTTTGATCTGCTTTTGCTATTTTTCCTGCTTGAATCACTCTACCATGAAACCACCCTTTGGCCAGCCCCAATATATTTGGGTCTCAGCAGAGATGTCATTTCCTCACCATTCTGTAATATCCCATCACTCTGTTTGTTCATGTGTCTCACTCTTTCTTTTTCTTTTGAGTCAGGGCCTCACTCTGTTGCCCAGGCTGAAGTGCAGTGGCACGATCACAGTTCATTACAGACTCCAACTCCTGGGCTCAACTGATCCTCCTGTGTCAGCCTCCCAAAGAGTAGCTAGAACTACAGACATGTGCCACCACACCTGGCTAATTTTTTAATTCTTTGTAGAGATGAGTTCTTGCTATGTTGCCCAGATTGGGCTCAAGTTCCTGAGATCAAGCAGTCCTCTCGCCTCCACCTCCCAGAGTGCTGGGATTACAGGCGTGAGCCACTGCGCCCGGCAATTTTACTGATGTCCATGTCTGTTTCCCTCCAGGGATGTAAGGTTCTGAACATAATGGAAGAGCAGGGGCTTTGTTCACCAGTGTATTCTCACTACTTAGAACAGTGCCTTGCACAGTGTGTCTTAATACATATCTGAGCCGGGCTCGGTGGCTCAGCCTGTAATCTCACACTTTAGGAGGCTGAGGTAAGTGGATGGCCTGAGCCCGTGGGTTCGAGACCTGCCTGTGCAGCTTGGCGAGACCTCATCTCTACAATAAATCAAAAAACAGCCGGGCTCAGTCTGAAATCGCGTGCCTTTGGGAGGCTGAGTGAGTGGATTGCCTGAGCCCGCAGGTTCGAGACCTACCTGGGCAGCGAGACCTCATCTCTACAATAAATCAAAAAAATCAGCTGGGCGTGGTAGCACATGCCTGTAATTCCAGTTACTTGGAAGGCTGAGGCGGAAGGATCGCCAGAGACCAGCAGGTTGAGGCTGCGGTGGCCGGGAGCAGCTACTGCACTCCAGTCCGGGTGACAGAGTGAGACTCCAACTCAAAAAAAAAAAAAAAATCAGCCGGGCGTGGTAGCGCGTGCCTGTAATTCCGGCTACTCGGAAGGATTGCCGGAGCCCAGCAGGTTGAGGCTGCGGTGGCCGGGAGCGGTCACTGCACTCCAGTCTGGGTGACAGAGTGAGATTCCAACTCAAAAAAAACCCAAAAAACATATCTGATTAATAAAACTGTTTAATTTAATACCTGTATTTCATGGATAAGGGAACTAAGGATCACAAAAGTGAAGTAACAGGCCTGAAGTCACACAGCTAGTGCAGATATGAGACTTGAATTCAGGTCTCCAACCTCC